GCTTTTAAACGTAAAATAACGCCTAATGCCTCTTTAGGCCTTTTGTAACATAACCAAAATGTTTTTAAACTAGTAGGAAATATATTATTGGCTCTTCTTATACCCAACGAATCTTTCAAATCGCTTTTAACCGTTACTTTATATTGAACAATTTTAGGCCTTTAAGACATTACGACGTCTACCACGAATTGTGAATCCCTTAAATATGCATTAAATTACACATCAAAATTTGTAATTTCAGTGTTCGAATTATATCAGAAACAATCGCACCCGATATAGAAAACTGTAATAGTCCTGGCTAGTTACATTGTGAAATAATCAGATGGCATAAAGACACTAAATATTTTTAAAATATGTTCACTAGAATTTGATTAACCGAAATTTAAAGTTTTTGCGAAGTGGTTATCGAATTTAATGTAAAATTTAAACATTTTTAAGATAAGACATGAACTATTTTTAAAAGGTAAATGTTAATACAACTGTTTTATATATAATCCCAAATTTATGATATAAAATCCTCTCTACTAAAAAACTTAAATAGGGTAACACCGCTTCGAATTTTTAAAATTGAGCAATTGTCAAAAATCGCCTTTTTATCAAAAAGTTGTTTACCAGGGTTTCTTTGAACTAATGATTGGTACTGAATTAAAGAATGCACACACATGAAAGATTGCGGCCATTTCAATACTCATTCAGTGTTAAACCTTTTTTGATTTGGCATTGGTATTTCAATCTTGCGATGAGTATGTTGATGTGTGAATTCATAACTGCTTTGAGTGAGTAGAAAATTAAAAAATTATAAACCTCAATCTTAAGCAAGGAATAAGTAATGAAAACTGAATAGAAAAAAATTGTTGATTTAAAATTGAAAATGATTTCACACTTACACAGCTGCAGCTCTGTCACATATACACAAAGGATGTGTTATGGCGTTTCTGTTCTCGTGTCTGAAATATTCATTCTACAGAGGTGATAACGCAGGAAACAATGTACCGAAAAGTACCCAGTGAGAGTTCGAAGGTCCTCCCTGCGCAGATTTATGAGCTTTTTTGAAGCTTCTTGTGATGTGTTTACCCTGAACACTCACAGCAGTGCCTACGGAATTTTTTGTCCACCCACTTATGGTGAGGTAGCTGCCCATAGGTATCGATCTTTTAAAATTCTGCGCCTAAATAGACCAGCTCCAGTTTTCCCATCTTCAAGTTTTTTAATTCCGAAGTAGTTAGGATTCTCAGTGCAGAAAGCGTAGCCTCCTTCTCTATTAGGATTGGGAAGGGCGGTATACCCACAAGAACACTGAATGCATCAGCAGAATAGGTCCGCATAACATCTTATGCCAATGCACACCATTCGGTGCTATTTGCTTAGTTTTGTCTCAACAGTTCTTTGTGTCGCTTTAGTCCACCATGCCAAGGATGCGTGGGTGACTATCGACTTCACAACTGTGTATAGATAGCCATTGGGTCACTTTTAGGGGGAGAGTCCCTAATTTTTCCTAAAGAGGCGTGTACAGGCGAAGAAGGCTTTAATCGCCTTGTTGACGGTTGCATCCAAATATTCGTTCTATGTGAGTGTCTTATCCAGCCTCACTCCCAGGTATTGTGCTTTTTTGCCGCCCAGAGAAAATTCCGTCATAACATTTTTCTCCGGTTAAACAAAACCAGAGTAGTTTTGGTAGAATTAATGGATAATCCTTTGGTGTCTCACAATCTTTGTGTAACGCGCAGGGCATATTGCATGCGGTCGGAGATCGTTTCGCCATGAATCCCTGTTTCGCAGATCACCCGATCGTCTGCACAGCCTTGTGTTTCGAAGCCGTGGTCGTTCAGTAGGAAGAAGAGTTCGTCTATAACCACAGTCCACAAGAGAGGAGAGAGTATACTCCCTTGAGGGAAACCCCTTTGGGGAAGTAAGAGGTTATTTCATGCCACCCAACTCCGTACCACTCTTCCTTGTTCCCTTCCCAATTCATGATGATATCACACGTTTAATAATATAGAGATGTAACTCAAAATTAACGTTTTTCGGATATTTCATCATACAATTAATAAGCTTGATAAGTAGAACTTGTTCAGCCTAACAGATGGCTTAACTTCCCAAACATCGCAAAGATATCGGTATTTTCAACTACCTTTTTGTATACCAACTGTGTGAGTTAATCAAACATTGATTGCGTTTTCCCACAAAATTTAAATTTTGAAATACTTCTGTATATTATTAAACGTGCGATATGGTTTACCCTCTTACATATCAAGGCACCTCATATTGCCCCGTATGACGTGTTGTCAAAAGCCCCTTAAATAGCAATGAAGGCACAAAGGGCTATGTTCTTAGACTCCAGAGCCTTTTCAATTATCCTCGTAAGGCTATGAATGAGAGTCTCAGGGTTCCATTAGGTTGACTTCTCTGATGTATTAATCCTAGAGCCTTTTCAATTATCCTCGTAAGGCTATGAATGAGAGTCTCAGGGTTCCATTAGGTTGACTTCTCTGATGTATTAATCCTAGATTTTCACCACGCCTTTAAGGAGAAAGGAGCTGAGACTAATTGGTCCTTAGGATGAAGGCATCTGCTCAGGTTTACTGCCTTCGGTAAAAATACGACCTTAACTTCTGTCCATCTACTGAGAATAGCATAGTAAAATTGATCAATTTATAAAAAAAATTTAATAGAATTAAATCTTTAAAGGCAGTTTTCTCGAAAAGCCCTGTTTGTATGATTTTCATTTTTTGCCGTGCCCCACATATAATTTTTCATTTATGTTATAGGTTTTTCTTAATTACTCAAAAGTATTTGTGAAGTGCAGGGCACATTCGAATTCAAATGAAAAAAGTTACGCATAAAAAAATTAGTCCTTAAACAAGCTGTTCTTCCGAAAGCGGAAACGCAATGACTTTCAATTAGGCCCGTTTCATATAAAAAAAATTAAGGAAACCATGCAGGTGGTAAGATCCTCTACATTCCCGAGAACGCGTTATGTAATTGCTTTTTGCTCCTTCTTTTTTATACTGGGAGTATAAACACATAATTATGTATTGAACAGAGATAGAGATTGAATGTAAATATGTTAACTTAAATGGGTATTACTTGGTATCCATATGTTTAATAGAACCTAGACTAAGTTAAATATATAATCTATACCGCAGTTAATTTACCTTTGTTACCATTTTAAATAATAATAAAGAGATAATTTGATCATTCTTGAGTTAATACCTACGATTTACAATTTTATTTTTTTGCTTTTCAGTTCATTTGTATTATACACTTCTTCTTCTTCTTTTTTGGCGCTGTTGGCCGAGTTCAGCAAAGCACGCCAGTCGTTTCTCCTCTGTGCCAACTGACGCCAATTGGAAATGCCAAGTGAAGCCAAGTCCTTCTCCACCTGATCTTTCCATCGCAGTGTGGGCCTCCCTCTTCCTCTGCTACCACCAGCGGGTTCCGAGTTGAATACTTTCAGAGCTGGAGCGTCGGTGTCCATTCGAACGACATGGCCAACCCAGCGTAGCCGCTGTATTTTAACTCGCTGCACTATGTCCGTGTCGTTGTAAAGCTCATACAGCTCATCGTTCCATCGTCTGCTGTACTCGCCGTCCCCAACGCGTATAGGCCCGTAAATCTTCCGCAAAATCTTTCTCTCAAACACTCCAAGAGTCACCTCATCGGATGTTGTCATTGTCCACTTAGGTCTCTTTTTTATGCGGTTTATTTTTATGCGGATTTGAATTTATGCGGTTTTTTAAACCATTTTTTCGCTGTAGAGATTTTGGTTTTTTGAGAGTTTATATTACTTTCCGTCAGTTAGTAAGAGACATTGCTTCTGATAAATAATTTGTCTTTGTATTCTTCATGTATTTATTATGGTATTTTTTTTTGTTTTTGGTTAAAATACAGATAAAATTTTATTTATTTCATTAATGTTCAGTTTTACATGGAATAATAAGTGTTGAAGTGAAGAAATAATTTTTTTTTGCTTAATATTGCCTCACTGGATTTTTGTATGCGGTTTTTTTAGAATTTTTTACATGGAGTATCTGAATTTATGCGGTTTTTGAAAATGCTGGAACGCATCCCTTTTTTTGTATGAAAGTCAAGAACTTTTTTATGCGTATTTTTTTTTTATGCGGCTTTCTGAGGAACGCATGTACTGCATAAAAAAAGACCTAAGTGTATTTTTATATATAGTAAGTTTTTTTATGAAAATAAAATTGGAATGTTTAGCGCATATAATGCTTTTTCATTTTTTTTTTCATAAGTATATCAGAAGTTGTTAAAAAAATTCAATTGATTATAAAAATTTGTACAAAACAAATTCGAAATTTTACAAACTGACCGCTTTATTTTGGTGCCCAATAAGTTTTCTAATAGCCATCAAAAAATCATATTAGAATGAATGGTTGCTGAAATATTGCAAAAAGTGTAAAAGCCTTCTTAAAAACTTGTTTGCAAATAACTCGTCGAAAAATTAAAATTAGCGCAAAAGCTTTGGTGTCAATATTGCACACCATGTTAACTTTCAAAATCGGCCAATAACATATAAATAATCGGAAAGTCAACTTTGTATGGCCCACTTGAGAAAACTTTACTTATTCTGATTTTCCTTCATATTGTGCTACACTAACTTCTCCAACCGTTCGGAAACACTTCCATAACAGGTATCCTGTTTGTAGAAAGCAGTTTCTAAGAATGTATGTAAAGAAAGCATAGGATTAAAATGGCATGTTGTTATAGTAGCGGCCCCGCTCGGGTCGGCTTGTCCGTCAACGTTATCGTTGCCTGTTATAATTTTTATATATTTATAACATATGCTAAGGCAGCGAGCAGAAGCGAGAGAACCGCCAGGTTATCTCACCTTCTTTTATTGAATTATGGTCAATGACACATTTTATTTGTATAGTATAGGAAATGAGGAATTAAATTGGCTTGAGCTTCCATTATTAATTATATATTATACTTCTTTTGAAAATTATATTTTTATATTTTCGTTACATGTTATAATTCAGTGCAGTCTCCAAGCTGTTCGGCTTATGAAACGTTCAGCTCTACAGTTGTCAACGAGTCGACAAGGAGAGACCTCTTCAATTGTACGAAAGGTTAAAACATAATGTAAAAAAGTAATTTTCTAGATAATAACATTTCACATTTTAGAAATCAGTAATGAAAAGGAGTCCGGCTTCAGCTTTAAGAAGCAACTGGATAACAATAGGCGAACAGCTTCTTTAATTATATTTTGCAGAAAAGTATATATATTTTTTCAATAGTTTCTTACATATGTCGTTTCCTGGATTAATGTGTAATTTTCAGTTCTATAAGCTGGCATGGATTAGGCTAAAAGAGTTATGTCGTGAACTGAAGTTGACAGAAGAACCCCATCTTAACAAGTTGTGGACGCTATTTGAACATTCGATTACTCAAAGGACAGAATTGATGCAAGACCGTCACCTCGACCAGATGCTTATGTGCGGAATCTATTTATATATAAGGGTTTGCATTAAAAAGTGTTTTTTCTTATGTTCTAAAACTAATATCTTATTTCGTAGGTCCAGGAAATAAAATCTAAGTCGTTTATGGATATAATGAAGTTTTACAGGAAGCAACCTCAAGCTCAAAGTAGCACATATAGAGAAGTCCTTATAGAACCGGCTGACGATGGAAGTGAGTAAATATAAAACTTTTCATTGTGATATACACCCATCAACATAAAACGTTACCAATGGAACCTGCGCCTTTGGTAGACCTAGGTTAGGTTAGATTATCTTTGCTGTCCCCATTCAGCACAGAAGAAGGACGCATTAAGGCCACTATGGGCCCATTGTGATGCCAAATTATAGATTGCTTACGTCCCTTCTCATACCTTAGAAGTAAAACAATTTGTAGCCCTAATGATGCGGCCAAAATGTTTGATTCTATCTGAATCCAGTTTAGCCAAACATCCAAAGTAATATTGGAGAAACTAGCGCCGACGAGCCCTCGCCAATGCAGGACAATGGCACGTGGGTTGCCTTCAGGCAATGCCCGGTGAGAGCTCCAATTAAATGCCGGTCACTGCAAATGTAGTAAAAGACTAGATCTACGCTTATCCAACCTAGACCATATATGCCTTGCTGTCCTGCTCGTGGGTTCCACATCCCATCCAGCAGAACCGGATGTTCTAGCAGATGAGCGTGACAATCTTCGCCAGGCCGGCCCGGAAATCCACGCATTTTTAGAGACAAACCAGCTAACTGAGGAAGATTAAAAAGCGTGTTCCACACACATATCAAAACTCCCTTAACCACCAGAGGGAGTCTCGACTGTCTCCTATGCTGACGACTTCTCGATAATGGCGTCTGGGAATGGAATTGATGACTTGTGTTCGAAACAAAGAACTTTCAAAGTTATCTTAGCCAATATTTAGAGATGACGTCGAGCGTAGCGTTGAACACTTTAATGATACTGTTTTTAATTTGTTTCGAAAGTATGAACCAAAACGTAATATTGTTCGTGAAGAACCAATACAATTATGGTTCACTAAAGAGCGTAAAAAATAGAAAAATAAAAAGTCACATTTATAAGTCATGTTCATGTAAAATTAAAAAGAACTAGAGTGCCAGCCACTGTCGAAATTCGACCGTTCTTCTAGTTTTTAAGACCCTTGGAGAGGTTTTCTAATTTAGCCCGGTTTAACTTATAATAAGGGTATTCATCAGACTTTATAAATGCATTGTAAACCGTATAAACTTATAACTGTGTAAACCTTATAAATGAAATGTCAAAATTTGTATGGAAACTCGTTTACACATTTCTGATAAATTTCCAGCGATTTCACTGAATAAACTTGATAAACTGAAGTCAATGCAACTCTAGCTATGTTTTCTTGGGCAATAATCGGGATCCGCATAAAAATTTTGCACGCAAATTCAACAATAACGATGTGATCCTGATAGAGATCTGGTTCAATTATTATCCGTTCTGTTTGTTTTGTTTCACTGATAATTGGCCGCAAAGTTTGGTAGCCGTGACAAATGAATTCATACACAAACAGACATTCTGCCATTGTTTCTTCTTCGATGACTCGATAAACTTCGGTAACTTGATAATTTTCGATAACTAAATTTTTTATAGCAGAATTTATTTCAATTACTATCGAAAAAATAACTGCACCTGGGCCACATTGAAGAAGTGGAACTTACGTTACTTAGTTAGAAATTGTGAATAAAACGACAGGGTAGTTAATATAATTTTATAAGCTAAAGTTTATAATTTATCTTTTTTCTATCTAAGAATGGGGGAAACATTCCCGGGCCCGGGCATTTTAAGGGGCCTGAAATATCAGAGCCATAACTTGTTATTAGTTTTTTACAATTTAATTTTAAAAGAAAACAATGCGCATGCCTTCAGTAACCTGTTAATCGATACAGAAACAAATATTTTTCCATGTAATGCGATGTCATTTGATGTCAAATCATGTGATGTCATGTTATATGATGTTATATCATGTGAAGTCATGTCATACCATATGATGTCATATAATACGATGTCATATCATGTGATGTCATGCCATGCGATATCGTATTATGTGATATCATATTATGTGATGTCATGTCATGTGATGCCATATCATATCATATGATGTGATGTGATATCATATGATGTGATCACATGTAATGTGTCGAATATTAAATCGATAACGCTGTCGATAACTTTGTCGATAAATATACCAATAAAAAAATCAATAAATATATAGCAAAATATAACGATTCCAAAATCGATTTATTTGTTGTTAAATATATCGATAACATTATCGACAACAATATCGATTATTACACCGATAAAAATATTTATAACATTATCGATAACAATATCGATTATTTTATCGATAAGAATATCGGTTGTATTGATAGAAGTATCCATTATTATATCGATAGCAATATCGATTCTTATATCAATAGCAATATCAATCTTTATCCTAATATTTTTCTTCATATTTATCTTTATTTTTGCATATTCCCCTTCACCTTTACCTTATAGTAATTAACCTTGATCGTCATTTTATCCTTTATCTTTACGAATATTTGTTTTAGTTTTTATTTTTACCTTTACCTTTAACCTTTTCTTCGTCTATGTACGTACTAAGCGTTACTTTCCTTCCAGTATTGGGCTTAATATCAGTCCTATTCTTAAACTCTTATTAGCACTTTTTGTTAAATTAATACCACATATATTAGAAGCACTTGTTTCCGTGACAACTATTTCCGTGTGCATCATTGCCCATTTACTCCCAACCAACAAATCGCCGCTAAAGAAGTTTCACTTCAAAAATACAATACATTTGCTTACCCTTTCAGTTAACCTAACTCTTATGTATTACTCACTGTCTCCATTTTCGTCTTTGTCTTCACTTTTGCCTTTTCTTCATCGTTATCATTTATTTCGGCATCTTCATATTTAACTTTACTTCAAAGCTTAATTTCAAATGCGAAGTGAAACAACATGCGAAACATGTAAAATTGAACATGTTGCAGCAACATCTATACACAAATACGGAAATGTTTAAACGACGGTTTTGGCCGTAAACCATAAAAACTCTGCTCATCTACGAAAAAATGCCTTTCCAATGGTGTTCTTGGTTTTGAAATCGGTTCGGTAGAATCTCTAAACGAAGGCGGACAAAATTTATGTTAGCGTATTAATATAGATATTTAGGATTGTTAATCCCAAATCATTTTATGGTTTCGTAAATTCAAAGCGTAAGGCACATGGATTTCCGTCCGCTATGCACTATCGCAATACTGTGTCTAGCGACAGCCAACTCATTGCCAGCATGTTTGCTCAGTTCTTTAGGTCCAATTATTCGGTAGACTCCTCTACGAGAGGAGACTATCCGTATGAACTTTGTACGATTAACTCAGCTTTTATTCCAGTAATTTTTTCCTATGAAGTTTTACACTATTTAAAAACCTTAAAAGCGTCATTTAGGCCTGGACCTGATCATATTCCGACCTGTTTCGTTAAAAACTGCACTGACAATATCTGCGAGCCTTTAACAACTCTATTCAACTTGTCACTAAAACATGTCGTCTACCTAATCGGCTTTCAGCCCAGTCTTCTTCAATGGATCTCTTCTTACCTCTCTGATAGGACACAAAGAGTTATTTATATTACAGTCAATAAAGCCAAAGGCGTTTTTGCATTTGTAAAGCGATGGTCAAAAGAGTTCAAAGATCCTTATGTTACAAAAGCTCTTTTTACCACTTTAGTTAGACCTATACTTTGGAATCCCCGCTACCAAGTTCATTCAGATAGGATTGAATCAATTCAAAAACAATTCTTGCTTTTTGCATTGCGTGATTTTAACTGGGATTCAGACTACAATCTCCCCCTTTACACTAGTCGTCTAAAGCTCATAAATTTGCCTACACTCTCAAGTCGTAGAGAAATGCTAGGTATAATATTGAAATTAATGACAGGCTTGATTAATGGCCCGGCCCTTCTGGCTGAGGTAAATTTTAATGTTCCCTCTCGAGTGTCAAGACACTTTCGACCTCTATTTTTAAAGCCATGCATAACTAATTTTGAACTAAAGGAATCATTCCGTTGTTTATGTCAAGATTTTAACTCTCATTCCAGCACTTTTGACATATCAGACTCGATTTTTGCTATAAAGAAAACAATCATTTCCACTCTCAATAATTGAAATACTATCTTTAGCATATCCAATCAGCTGATGGATTTGATTCTGTAGCTGAATAGTTTTAGATCTCGACACTTAGCCCTGTTTCAAAAAAAGGTCCGTACGTCATGGAATGGAATGGAGGGTAAAAACCGTTGGGATTAATTAATCAAAGTAAACGGTTCTCTCTCACGATTGGGAGAAATAGAGATTGCGCCCATCGCGGTACTGCTAATCCGCTCTTTGTGAATTTGACAGATTCAGCTGTGTGCGTGACGTCATCTTGGTGCAATTTTTGATTGAGGAAAACCAAATAGCGATTTAACTGGGTACGGTTTAGTTGTTTGCCCAATTGTTTTGGGCTATTGCGTCCGAATGGGTGACCCGATCCAAAAAATTTTACACACACTAGTAGTCAAGGGTCTACACTTTATTGTAAAACCTAATTTTGTAATTTCCGATCACTAATTTATTAATAAATTCGGTTTGAAAAATGCACTTTTTGTGAAATTTGGAGCGAGTTCTACGCAAAAATACTGTGGATGATGTAGCCGGAGTTATATGCACAATAAATGTTGAATACCTCCCAATAGAAAGGTGTTCTGCACAAAAATACTGTTTATCGAGTTTACATTTTCGGTGTCAAAATGCTAATTTTAGACCTTTTCCAATGCTCCTCCAGGGGTATGTGGAAGGTTCCGAGGGATCAGGTGTGACTTTGTACAAAGTGTGAACTGTCCTCTTTCTTGTAGATTAGATTTCAGGACCCTTGCCCCCTTCCCCTCCGCGCATTACCCCAAAAACAGTGGGCAAATAAATAAACAATTGCAAATGTTCCATCATATCGGTAAAGAATATTAAGTCAGAAAGGCAATTTTCATTCTCCAATTGCGGGTAACGTTCCGATCACAATTTGCGTATGTGTATATATGTAAAAAGAATAAAATAAAAACACAATGAAAAATATTGTCCAGCAAAGAAATATGTATTTTAAAAACTAACAAGTAAGAAAATCTAAGTTCGGGCGGAACCGAACATTAAATACCCGGCGCAAGTATTAAATATATGCTTTTCACCTTTCCAAAAACTACCGCTACATGGTAAGCAGGGGTGGTTTTACTGCTATTTTAAACATCTTCAATAGAACGTTCAGTTAGATATAATGAGATAAACTTATATAGTCATATGTGGGCGGTATGACGCCCATTTTCCAAAATTCCAAATAATGCTACTTATTTTCAAGGGATTGTTGTTAGTATCAATTTTGAGTAAATTAGCGTCCATAAATTTCGAAATATAGAAGTTCCAAGCATTTCTGATATATACCGCTATATGAAAAGTGGCCGTAATTTTACTCCGGTTTCAATAATTTTCAGCGTTCTGTGTTAACGTGGCAAGCACCATAATCATACCTAGTTTGGTACAAATTGGTAGAACGGTTACCGAGATACATTTATGTGATCATAAGTGGGCGGTGCCACGCCCATTTTCAAAAATTTTATCATAAATGTACTTCCATGTAAAGAATTATTGCATGCATCAATTTTGAATAAATTAGCTTTAGTATTGATTTATCGAAGATTTCATATTTCTCTAAATTACCGTTATATGGGATGTGGGCGTGGTTATTGTCTGATTTTAGAAATTTTCAGCCATTTGGTATGTTGTACCAAGGCCAATAACTGTGCCAAGTTTAGGAGAAATTGGTGGAGCGGTTACGATATACACATATAATCATAAGTGGGCGTGGCTTACAATGTTCCTATTCCTAAAAATGATTGTGAACATCAGTTTTGAGTGAATAAGCTTCAGTTTCTGAAAAATACCGCTATATGGGAGGTAGGCGTGGTTATTGTCTGATTTTGCCCATTTTCAATACCATCCGTCCTACACCGTACCAAGTTTCGTTAAGATATCTCAATTTTTACTCGAGTTATCGTGTGCACAGACGGACGGACGGACAGACAGTCACCGCTTAATCGATTTCTCTTTTCATTCTGATCATTTATGTATACATTTGTCTATATCTATCTCGATTTGTTTGCCTGTTACAAACAACCCTTATGTGAACAAAGTTATAATACCCTTGTGCACAAGTGCGCTCGGGTATAAAAAGAGCCAAAATGTTCTTAGTAAAGAGAAAGTAACGCACTTTTCTAGGCAAAGAGCCGCATTTGGCTCAAAGAGCCGCGTTTGGACACCGTTGAAATATAACATCTTTACATAAATTATTTTTCATATTTGTATAAAGACGTGGGGTGAAACCCGCGGGTAAATGCTAATATTTTTATAAAATGTAACAAAAAAAATTTGGTGGAAAAACATTGTAAATATTTAAAATAAAATCACCATGCACTCAGTTTTGATCGCCAGTGTGACTTTGTTTTGGACGGTTTTGCTGTTCCATAAGCAAATAAATCAATTTTTTGTTGAATGCATTTAGTTTTGTTTCTCCCCCGAAAAACACCTTTCTCAGTTGCACCCGTTGTTCTTATCTGCACCCCTTTCGGCATTTTAGGTCTGGCAACCCTATGTACCATCAGTCCTGTGGAACAAATATTGGAGAATGCGATTACTTAAATATTCATTTATAGTTTATTTACGGTCTATCAATTATTCCAGATGTTTATATAAGAAATTCGCTAGAAATACAGTAATAAAATACGAGTAATAGGAACAAATATATCAATTAAGCATTATTTTGTTTAGAACAATTCATTTATGCGTTTATTATTGTTTAATATTAATAGTGTGCTGCGTTTCCATTATTTTCTAGGGCTTCGAAGCTTTTTGAAATAGAATTAAGAGAGTGTTCCGATTTTACCTTCTGGGAGATTTTTTATTGTTTGATAAATTGTAAATTTTTCACCAAATTTTATTTGGTTATTTGGCTCACGTGTAAATTCAAAAAAGCAGGTGTCAATTAAATAAAATAACGGAAAAATTGGACTATTTTAGTCAAAAATAGCAAACCTGTAGTGAGATTCCCTCATTCGCTACGAAAAATTTTCGACTTGAAAATCTCTAGATGAGAGGCAGTGTGTTATCAGCTATAACTGGCAGAATGAGGAATATGTAACTGATGTTGCATATTGTTGGGAACAGGGACCGAAAATGTCAATAAAATGCAAAGATTTTTATTTTTAAATCATTACAACATATCGGAAAAATAAAAAACCAAACATATCGATTATTCTTGATCGAAAAAAGTCATACAATAAATTGATATAAAAACTGGAAATATGGTTTTAACGGTTAAATTATGATTTTATAAGGATCATAGTCTTGATGGTCCCCGGTAAAGAGCGATAGCGCAGTAGGAATCCCACTGCTGTTAAGCCGTTTTAGGTCACCAGCCAAACTAGGCCATGTATCCATACATGGTCGTCAAACCCCAAGATAATTTTTCTCGGCAATGCAATTATTTTCCTTAGGCTCAAGTTTCCACTTTGTGGTAAAAACCTAACTTATTTAACATTAAGTGAGTCTCAAGGGTATTAACAGTATATAGGTGGTTTCTAGCACCGAATTGAGACAAAATATTCTCTCTCTAGAATAAAAAAATTCAAGATTTTTAGAATTGCTTGGGAAGCAGAAACTTTTTCGTACATGCTAAAAAAGTATGAGTATTAAGAATTTTCATTTACTTATTATAAAGTGAGTTTCTTAAGCATTCAACCAACCTCTTTGTATCTTACAGCTGGACCACCTCGGTATCGCGACATAATATATTTTTATAATAACCTATACGTTAAGAAGATGACTCCATATGCCCTTATCTTCAGTGGAAAGAAACAATCGGTAAGTTATTTTATAAAGGCTCATTTCACGGTAACTATTGAAAGGTTCCGTCACACCCTTCCCTGTGGAATATTTATTATAGCAACAATAATCTATACATAGTCCAGATTTTTTGAACACGATAATCTTGAAAACTACTAAACGGATTTAGACGATTTTTTTTAGTTTAATCTGTATTTATAGGAATATAGGAGTAAAGTTAGTGTTTAGAATTGATTTTTTCTAAGAGCGCGGTTACCCACGAACGTGATCGTAGCGTTGCGTAGAAGTACGTAGAAACATATCTAGTTAGTTGAGAGAAAGAGAGGGAAGTAACGTCTACGTCACGGTCATACGGTGGTGAGTTTTTGTTAATACGAAAATTCCATAAGGTAGATTGCGACACATTACATCACATATCGCACACCGTCGTCAAAAGAGTCACAACTCAAAATTTGTCATTTTTGAAATTATGCGCTAAGAATGTACACAGGGCTTTTATTTACCTATCAGCAAAAGCTGGAGCAAATTTTGATTTTGATTTGTTAAAAAAACCTAAGGTAAAGTCTCCCTTGCCCATATGATTAGCATGTGCTACGAAATAACTTTTCGCATTTTCTGACGAACGTATTATTTTGACTTGTGACTCTTTTGAAGACGGTGTGCGATATGTGCATTGAAAAGTTGTATTTTGTCATCCTATCAATTTTATATCTGAGAGAGATTTGTAATGGAGACTCCGGGCTTTTTTCGGTAATGCAAACTACACAGTATGCCTAATGCAACCCGTTCGAGAAAAGCAAATCTGGCATCTTTCCGAAAATCGAACATTCGAAAAAGCAACTCTGTCCCAGCTGTTGCGCAAAAATAGCGCAAAACTTGCAACGAGTAAGAAGCAGATGCAGAAACGAATAATTACTAATTTTGAGTTGGTTGAGGTACTATGTCATGTAAGTGATTGCTTTTATATTTTTATTTAATATTAATTAAGGTTTTCTTAAATTCAACAGGTTAGACGAGGAAGAAGTAGCGCCAAGTGCACTTAAGCTGCTTGTGAGAGTCCGGCTGGAAATGGAGAGGGAGTTTGCTGCTGGCTGAAAAAAAAAGTCATATTTATGGGGTAAAGTACTTCAACAAATGAAAAATGTTCAGCCGGAATTCGATCAGACAAGGGAACAGATTTCGACGAGGTATACGGTGTTCGCCACTCAATAAACCCACCGGAAAGCAATTTGCAGTCGTCACTGGAACGCGATGTCGAGGATGCTCCTGTAGAGGACCGAAATTCGTCCGAATTGCCCAGTACTAGTGGAAAAAGACGAAAAGTTGATTCAAACAACGAAGCAGCTCAGTTTCTGGAACATGTGGAAGAAAAGGAGCAAGCCCGTCATTAGGAGGTGTAGGAGCTTGAGCAAAAAGTTCAAAATAGAGAAGCAAAGAATTCAAGCGCTAATTGCTTTACCAAATATTTTACAAAATAAAAATAACTAAAGTATTCATTGTTTTATGAGTTACATAAAATACATATGTACAAATTTTGAACTCAAAACTTTAATTGAATAAATACACATACATACATATCCAGTATTTTTAATACGGAAAACTTATTTTTTGTTAAAGTTTTCAAATATGTGCATATGTATATCGGTGGTCCTCTGCAATAACGACACAACTCAAAACTAAAAAAAA